CCTCTCCACGAGCCTGTGGCTCTGCCTAGGCTGGCAACATTGCCAACATCAGCAGGACCGTGCTCAACCTAGTGCTGCTCCTTCTCCTGGGCCAGGTCTACACCTCGCTGGATGAGCAGCTCAGCAGATGGGGTGAGTGAAGACCACAGGTTTCAGGGCTGTCTAGGTGTCATCTAGGAACTAGGAGCCCTGAGGCGGGGCTACCTGCTTATCAGAGCCTACAGCTCCAGCCTCAAGTGAGGGTGACCGGGGCACATGGTTGGCATTAGGAGACTGGGTTGGAGACAGAAGCATAGGGGTTGACTCAATGGGCTTTGCCTGCCACCCTGCACCCAACAGAACTCTGGCCAGCTCTGCCCTTTGCCCAGAGATGCATAGAACCCAGACTCTCCACGAAGATGCCATCACTTTCAAAGTCTCCATTTTCCAGTTTGTCAGTTTCTACTCTTCTCCCTTCTATGTGGCATTCTTCAGAGGCAGGCGAGGACCACTTCCCACCCCCTGGCCTCAAGGCTGTTGCAGAGCAGCAGCACCCTTTGGGCTCCAGATCTGTCTGTACCTAGGTCCTACTGTTGACCTTGAAACTGGTTCTTGATTTCTGTGGGCTAGAGTTTTCTCAACTGTAACATACCAGCACATCACTGGGTAGTGTGACAACCTAACACCTGCATTCAGTCCTTCAGTCAGCTCTCACTGGGTGGCCCCAGGCCTGACAAAGCCAACTCCCAGTGCTGCGGTTTGAGCTCATCTTTTTGGGGGGCCTTCCTGCTGCACCCCCTGGGCTGGATGCTGGGGACACAAAAATGAATGAGAACTAGGCCTTCTCCCCCAGGAGCTTCCAGTCTTTAATGAAGACTAGTTAGGAATCAGGAAGGGCTGGACTCCCTGGAGGTGGTTTTATTATGTGATGCCATTGTCATTTGGCAGGATGGGAGGAGGTTCACCAAAAGAGCCCCCCCCCCAGCACCATGACTCCATCTTTCTGAGTCACAGATGCCTCATTGGCCAGTCATGGGCTGAGCAGGAGATCCAGGCCATGGTCCCAGCAGGCTGTGGGAGCATGTCTTTTGGGGTGGTGGGCAATGCCTCCCATCTGCCTGTCAGCAGGGTTAGCTCTCAGTGTGGGGGAGGCCAGAGGATCAGGAGCAAAGTGGGAGAGGGGAGTAGCCTGAGCATGGAGTTTACCTGCAGCCTGGCTCCAGAGGGGGAGGGCGCCTTGCCAACAGATGCAGTGGGCCTTCAGGTTGGTGGGATACTCTGGTCAGTACAGCACATTGCTTGGCATGTGGAATGAGGATGTGAGTACCCCCGGGGAGCTGGCTCTTAGGGCAGGGTGGGGGGCGTCACATCCTCAGATCTGGTAGGGACAGGGCCAGCCTCTGGGGCCTCCAAGGTGGGTGTGGGGAGCAGGTGGCCAGCTCCATGCACTGGTAGGGAGGTGGGGCCACCCCTATGCAGCCCCTAAGCCCCAAGTAAGGTGCCCTGTGTCTGCCAACAGCAGTGCGGCCCTGCGGCTGCCTCGAGCTCACTCAGCAGCTCTTCGTCATCATGGTGGGCAAACAGCTGGTCAGCAACATGGAGGAGTTCACTGTGCCGTGAGTGTAGGGGTAGGCAGAGGGGACAGGGCTGGGCCTAGTCAGGCCATGGGGAGGGCTTTTATGAGAGCAAAGCAGACAAAAAGCCCAGAGACAGGGCACAGCTAGCCCTGGCTGCTTCTGAGCTATGTGACTTTGTGTCTCTCTGAGCCTCAGTTTCCTCACCTGTGAAATGGGGACAACAATACTCTCCAAGAGAGTCTAAAGGATTATGAGATGCTGAACAGGAAAAAGCTTTGTAAATGGAGGTCTTTCTATTCCTATTTTGTGGAGGGGAAGAGATTCCAGAGGCCAAGGATGACCATGTGAGAAGCTCAGAGTTGAGAGTCCAACAGACTGGATTTGAACCCTGGCTTTGAACTCCCCAAATTTGAACCAATTAAGGGAGTTTTGGGCAAGGTTTCTAGGTCTCTATTTGCTCATCTGTGAGGTGGGAATAATCGTGGTGCCTACGTTTAAAGGGTGTTGGGGGAACAGAAAGGGCAGTTCCTGGCACAAACCTGCTGTTATGACCATTATCTGGTTTCCCTGCCTCCTGCCCCAGGAAGCTGAAGCCCTGGTGGCAGAAGAGGCCGCTGGCAGGGCTGCAGGGCATCCAGGTCGGACAGCAGCCCAGCGCTGGGAGGAGGACTATGAGCTTATTGAGGGCCAGGGCTTGTTTGATGAATAGCTGGAGATGGGTGAGCAGTGGCCCAGGGTGTGGGTGTGTGCCCTGGGCGGGAGAGGGGCTCCTGGGGGCCTGGCACTGCGGAGGAGGTGGCCCCAGGCCTGACACTGCCCGCCTCCCCCGCCCCCCGCCGTGCTGCAGTTTGGGTTCATTACCACCTTCGCGGCGGGCTTCCCGCTGGCGCCCTGTTCGCTCTGCTCAACAATTGGGTGGAGATGCGGCTGGACGCCTTCAAGTTCGCGTGAGAGTACCGGCGCCAGGTAGCTGAGCGCGCACCGGGCTGCGGGATCTGGCTGCTCCTCCTTGAGGCCTCAGCCCCCTCCTCTTGTCCGGAATGTGAGCGCCTGGAGGGGGAGGGAGCACAGGCCCCGCCCCCACCTACCTGGCCCTGGGCAACCACACACCCTGCAGGAGCGAGGCCCTTCAGGCCCGGGCCGGGGAGACTGGCCGGATGGGCGGGGCACCGAGCCCCGGTGGGCGGGGTTTGTCGGGAGGGGCGGGGAGCCGAGCACGAATTGGCTGGCCCTGCCAATGAGGGGCGGGGCGCTGAGATTGGCGGGCGGGGCCTTGGAGGGACGGACCGCTGAGCCTGACTAGTCTGGGCCTGCGGAGGGGGGCGGGGCGCTGAGCCCGGTGGGCGTGGCCTGTCGAGAGGGGCGGAGTGCCGAGCCAGAGTTGGCCGGGCCTGCCGAGCGGGGGCGGGGTTCTGAGCCCTGGTGGGCGGAGCCACCGAGAGGGTGGGGCGCTGAGTCCGGGTGGGCGGGGCCCAGCTGGAAGGGCAGCGGCTGAGTCTCGCCGGCCGCCAGCGCGCGGAGCCGGTTGCGGCGAGTGCTGAAGGGGGTAGGGGCTAGCAGCGAGGAGGGGCGTGGGTGCGGGGCTCGGAGTCGAGATCCGAGAGCCTCTCCGGCCCTCGAAAGCCAGGAGCAAGGCCTTTCGCGACGCGCACGGGAACCTCGCCCTCTTCTCCGGCAAGCTGCTGGCTGTGCGTCTGGGCTTCACCATCGCCTTCGAGGTAGGCTCGGCCACCTGTCCTGGACAGACGCGCTTTCCAGTCCAGGCTCTGCCATCCGCCGGCCAGGAACGGGGATGTAGCATATATATTATTATTATTTAATAGGATCGACTTCATAGGGTCGTTGTGCCTGGCGCATGGTAGGTGCCCAGAGTTCGAATCACTGATGTCAGTATTATTATTATCACTTGGCAACTGGCCTGGAGAAAGGGGAGGAAGCACTCACCCTCCCTTCAGCTTTGCACTAGCCCTGCCTCTAACGGGGTTCTTCGTGTTAGGGGTTCGAATCATACCTCTGCGTCTTTGGGCAAATGACCACCCCTTTATGTTTCGGTTTCTTCACACGTAACTTGGGTAGAAATTATACCCCCTCATAGAGTTCCTGCGAGGATTAAGTGAGCTACTGTCCGGAAAACCCTCAGCGCAGTGCTCCGTAAGTTCAGACTGCTAAGGCAAGCGCTCTCTCTCCGGCCTCCCTTCTCCCCAGCACGCAGTGTTCTTCTTCCCGCGCCTCGTCGCCCGGCTCGTGCCCGAGGTGCCAGCCGCCCCGGCTACCGAGATAGCGCGCGAGCCTTACCCGGCCGAGCGAGCGCTGGCGGAGAACGCTGAGGCTCAGTCCTCGGTCGGCCAGACCCGCGGGCACTGACCCCGCCCCACGGGCTGACCACGCCCCCTGACCCGCCCCCGGGCCCAGCTCCACCCCTGTAGCCCCGCCCTCTCGCTTGGCCGGATTCGTGCAGTTTTCTCCTGGTCCCGCCCTACATCAAGCTCCGCCCATGCCCGCGCCCCGCCCCCTCATTTCCATTCTCCGCAAGCGACGGGGAGGGGGGGTTCTGCTCTGGAGGCCCAGCCTGACCAAGCCTTGCTCTGTCCGCTGCAGAAGGGGCGCCGTCCTGCAAGGGCGAGTGAGGCAGGACTACCTTTCCAGAACCCTAGGTCTCCCAGGGTGCTCCTGCTTTTGGGGTCCTCTGGCTTCCTGCTAGGGGTCTGGGCAGTGCTCCCAGGCTGGCCTGGGGGCTGGGCTGTGGATGCTCATGCAGCCTGCAGTGTGTGAGTGACAATGAAAGGGGTGAATTAGGGCAGCTCAGACACCTCCCAGCAGACTTACGCACAGGTCACCCGACCCTCCCCAAAGCTTCTTGGGGCACAGGTTGGTGGTGGGGTCAGACAGACTTTGGTTTCAATACTATTAATAGTTCTGCCCCTTAGCCGTGTGATTTTGGGCAATTTATTTAATTCCTTGAACCTCAATTTCATCATCTGTACAAGAGGGGCTTCACAGAATTGATAAGAGATTTAAAGATAATGCTCATGACTTAACTTGTACGAGGGTCTTAAAACAGTTGGCCCAACAAATCCAGGGGTTCCACATCCTCAGATTCAACCAACCTCATATAGAAAATATTTTTAAAAAGAGGCCAGGTGCAGTGTGACTCATGCCTGTAATCTCAGAAGTTTGGGAGGTCAGGGTGTGAGGATTACTTGAGGCCAGGAGTTCGAGACCAGCCTGGGCAACATAGTGAGACCATCCCCGCTATCCCTACAAGAAAAAGAAAGAAAGAAATATTAGCTGGGTGTGGTGGCTCATGCCTATAATCCCAGCTACTCAGGAGGCTGAGGCATGAGGATCACTTGAGCCCAGGAGTTCAAAGTTACTGTAGTAAGCTATGATGATGCCACTTCACTCCAGCCAGGATGATAGAGTGAGACCCTAAAAAAAAAAAGAAACAATAGAAAATAACAATACAACAATTTTACATAGCACAGATAAAAAGTCAATAAACTATTATTATTTACATACCATTTACATTGTATTAAGTATCCTAAGTAACCTAGAGATGATTTAAAGTATACAGGAGGATGTAAGCAGGCTATATACAAATATGACACCATTTTATATCAGGGGTTGAGTATCCAGGGATTTTGATATGGAGAGAGGTGGAACCAATCCCCCATGGATTCAGAAGGATGACTGTACTCACCTGGTAAGTGGGAGCAGTAACAGTGTCTACCGCATAGGGTGGTGGTGGAGATTAGGTGGATAAATACATGTGAAGTGCTCAGAGCAGTGCGTGGCACATGGCAAGTGTACAAGAAGAGTTATTAGCGACATGAGTATTAGTATTTGTATGCATATTCATAATGTAGTTGTATGCATATTCACATTAAGTGCCTGGCAATTGCCCGCTGCTCAATAAATGTCAGGTAGCATTAGGGGGAAAGCAGCTCCTCCTTTCACAGGCTTGGGAAGATTGCATGGCACAGAAAGAGCAGGCCCCCCTTATGGGGTGGGGGGGCTGGTTCAATTTTGGCTATTTGCATTGGTTTATTAAGGACTCAGTCCGTGGAGACTAGAGTCTGTCTGGGAAGGCTTCGTGATGGAGGGGGCCGCTGGAGGTGGTGAGAAGAGTCACTCTAGGCAGTGGGAAAGGATGGCTCCTTTGTGAGGAGTGGCCGTGATGATGCCAGACGTGTCACATCACCAACCTTCTGATTTGATTTCCATCTCCCAACCGCAGAGACCCGTGTTCCCATTTTACAGATGCAGTGTCAGGCTCAGAGAGGGTCAGCAGAGTTCTCGGGGTCCCTGAGGTGTCCAGGGCTTGGGAGGTTCTCTGTGAAGCTCCCAGAATGCTCTCCACCTGCAAGAAGCCCCCTGACATGCCTCACATTTAGGAGGGGTGACCTGTCTCCTAGGAGCAGAAGCAGTGCCTCCCCCATCTTCAGGACTTAGTTCTAGGGTCCTTCAGAGCCTCACCTGGGCATAGGACTCCCATTGTTCCAGCCCCCCTCTCGTACCCCAGACTGGCCAAACCGGTTTTGGGGAAGGGGGGCGGGGAGCAGGCACGTTGAGACAGCCGCCTGCTGCGAGGTTCCCTCCACCTTGGCCACCCCCCTCCCTGCCCCACACAATACCAGGAGCTTGCATTGCCCTGCTCAGGGGCCGTGCTGACATTGCCCCCTGAGGACTTGGCTGCAACCCCAGAGCCCCCAGGGTGTCCTGGAGCCCTGGACCGTGCTGGCATCTGGACGGAGCTCCCTGGCTGAGGTAGGGCCCCAACCGGGTGCCAGCAGCCCCATTCTCCTCCCGCCAGTTTTCCCCTGAGTGAGTCCTTTGTGCTGCCTGCCTGGCCTCTGATCCTGCCCCTGACCCACTTATGGCCTCCTGGTGCTCTGCAGACTGCTTGGCCTGAATCCCCTCTCCAGCCATTGACCTCCCACTTGGCTTTGTCCCTTAAGGGGCAGTGGGGCCCTGGCAGGGTCCCTGCTCCTCTGGGCAGCAGGGCAAGGGGCACCAGGGAGGGGGCAGGGAAAAGCTGGGTACAGAAGGCCAGAGGTGCTTTTCCTGGACTATGGGAACATTCAGGAGCCCTTTCTGGCAGCCTGGCCAAGTGGGTCCATTGTCCTCTGTAATTAGCAGTGCCCAATGGGTGGTCCTCTCCTTGGCCCCTGCCCATCCTTTCTCAGCCTACAGAGACACTTAGGATGACAGATTTCTTAGAGAGGGCATCTGGGGTTAAGGGGTCCCTTAGGAGACACTTTACAGATGAGGATACTGAGGCCAGCCAAGGGATGGGCTATGACTTGCTTGAGGCCATGCCGCCAGTCAGTGTCAACACCGGGCCTTGAACTTTGGGCAGAGGTTTTTCATCTGGGTTCCAGGATGACCTAGTGGGCACTAGAGTCTATCCTGTGATCATGTCTTGGGCAGGTAATGTCCCTGTACCTGGAGCCAGTTCTCTTCCTGAGGTCTGTTTTGTTTTGTTTTTGTTTTTTTCTAACAGAGGTGAGCTACACACAATATGAACACAGCTTTGCCCCACCTAGATTTCCAACACTGAGGCTGGGTGGGCCGCATCCTGGAAGGCCGTAGGGCTGGAATCCTAGCTAGATGGGTCATTCTCATTGCCACTTGGCCTGGGCATAGGTGGAGGCCGATGCTTCCCCCCAGGGACCAGCCTCCAGCTTTGTCTCCCCAGAAAGCCTTCCTCCTCCCCTCTCCCCACACTCACCCAGCCTCCTCCTCAGGCCCTAATGGGGGTGCCTCTGCGCCAAGAGCTCAATGTTTTGCTTATTTATCCCTGCAAATGATGGGGGGGGGGAGGTCCCTCCTTGCCCTCCGGGAGCTTCCAGAATTCATGTAGAGAGAATCTCCTAGAACACAGGGAGCGGGGCATGTGCACATACTTGCACATGTGTGCCCACGGAGCAGGTGAGACTTCTGTGTTAGGACTTCTGATTCTTGGGGAGAAAAAGACCTGTCCCGGAGGCAGTGGCCTCCTGTGTCTCCTGCCACCTGCTCCTGCAGTGTGGCGTACCCTCGCTGCTTCACCCTCCCACCTGTGTGAAGGCCCAAGCCACAGCCCCCACCCCCTTGAGGGAGACTGCGGATAGGAAGAATGCTCCCAAGGGTGACTATCAATGACAAACTCCCACTGTGCTCCAGGCGCTTTGCAGGCATTGTCGGTGATTCTCACATGAGCGCTGGGAAGCTGCCTGACTATCCTATTTTCCAGATGAGGAAACTGAGGCTTAGGGAGGTTTGTTCAGTTGGACATTCTTCAGCCTTGAGGGACAGAGGCCAAAGGTACAAGCTTAGCTAGAGCTGCCACCGTAGGGAGCGACCCTTAGGAGCAGCCAGCCCCTTCTCTGCACCCTGTCAGCAGTTGAGGGGCTGTGCAGGGAGAGTGGGGCCCCCCACAGACCCAGCTGTCCCTCACTGGGTCCTCTCCTCCCTCCCTCTCTCCAAGGGTCTCTGACACTGTCACAGTTCAGGCCAAGGCTTGCTATGTGTGCACTGGGTCCCTGGGTGTTCCAGCCATGCAGCAGTGAGCTGTTACCTCCTCCAGGAAGCCTTCCTGGAGTACCCAGCTTGAGCTGAGCCCAGCACCCTACTGTGATGGTTCCTCTGGCTTGGCTCTTGCCAACCTGGATTGTAACTTTTCATTTTTGGCTCCCCCACTGGACTGGCAACTCCACGGGCAAGAAATGTTTGTCTATCGGTCTCCCTGGGTTTTCTGGGCTTCATGTCTGTGTCTGAATATCTGGTCTGGCTGAAATGTTCAGTGTCTCTGGTGTCTGTCTCCATCTCTGGGTCCCTGAATGTCTCAGCATCTGTGGTTTTTCTGTTTTTGAGTGTTTTGGGGTCTTGGTTGCTGAGTTGCTGTCTAAATGGCCTCCGTTTCTCTAGGTCTGTCTCAGTCTCTGTCTCCTGGGTCTCCTGGCCCTGCCAGGCTGGGCACTGCCCCTGTGGCCTGAGGGGACCTCTGGGGGGTCCTTGCTGCCTGGCCTGCCCACAGCGAGGCCCTGCTAGGGTAGGCCCCCGCCCAGCCCGCTGCCTGCTCCCTCCTCCCTCTCTGCCGCTTGCCTCACCACAGGGTTTGATGAATCAAACTCTTTGTCTGGGTGGGATCTCCCCCAGCCAGCTGGGCAGAGAGAGGGCTTCCCCTGCCGGAGCCACGACCAGCATCAGCAGCCGGCCTTGGCTGGAGAGGTGAGGGGCTGCCGGAGGGTGCCTAGCGGAGGGCGCAGGGCAAAGGCTGAGGGGCTTGGACTTGGATCCCTCCGGGATCATCAGGCCTGTCCCGATCCCTGCTCCCTGCTCCCTGCTCCCAGGGGATGACTTCCTGCCCAGAAAGGACCCGTTCAGCCTGGCTCATCCAGGGGCTGGGAGCTGGGGTGAGGAAAAGCCCCTTTTTCCCCCAAAGCTGGGGGCTGGGGCCCTCCCTGCCCGTCTCTGGGAGGGCCCAGCCTGATCTGGGTGGTGGCCTGCCTGCCAGTCTGTGACCCTCCCAGCCAGCTTGGCATGGGTGTGGGCACCACTCAGCGCTGAAGGCCGCAATTCTGGGCATGGGGGCGGGGTGGACATCACCAAAGCAAGGACTTGCGGGCCTGTGTGTTGTGTCTGTACCCTGGTGTGCATGTGAGTGGAACAGGAGTGTGAGAAAGCTTTGGTGGGTGTAAATATCGGAGGGGTCAGTGTGTGTGTGTGTTTGTGTGTGAGAAAGTATCTGTGTGAATGTATTTAGTTGTGCACAAAAGTGTGTCTGTGAAGTTGTGAGCCTGAGTTTGAAATGTCTGAGTGTATCTACGAAAGTGTGCATGCCCATATGTGTACTCGGAGAAAATGTGTGGTTGTGTATGTGGGAATATGGATTTGTGTGAAATGTTTGGATCTGTATGTCTGATTGTATGTCAGCGTGTGATAGAGAAAGTACACGGTTGTTAAAAGCACAGACTTGAAAGCTAGAGTGGTTGGGTTAGCATCCTGGCTTCGCTATTTACCAAATAACAACCTCTCTGCCTCACTTTCCTTGCTTATAAAATAGAGGTAATAACAGCATCAACTCGTAGGGTTGTTTGAAGATTAAATGAGATAATATGTGTAAAGTACTTGCCTGTCATTCAGGAAGCGCCAGGTAAGTGTGAACTATTACAAAATAATCAGATGCATGAGTATGTTTGTAGGATGTGTGCACACATTTGTACACAAGGGTTTGTCCAGGCCTCCAAGATGTGGTGGCTTACTGGCCAGCCCTGCTGTCTGTATCTAGGTCTGATCCCTTCTCTCCTGCAGGCCCAGGTGGGTGGCAGAGCAAAGGAGGAATGGACTGTGGGCCACCTGCTACCCTCCAGCCCCACCTGGCTGGGCCACCTGGCACTGCCTGCCACCCAGTAGCTGTGTGCCAGCAGGAGAGTCTGTCTTTTGTGGAGCTGCCCACCCTGCAGCCTCCGAGCCCTGTGTGTTTGGACCTTTTCCCTGTTGCCCCCGAGGAGCTGCGGGCTCCTGGCAGCCGCTGGTCCCTGGGGACCCCTGCCCCTCTCCAAGGGCTGCTATGGCCAACATCCCCAGGAGGCCCAGACACAGAGATCTCCACCAGTGGAGGAATGCGCCCCAGCAGGGCTGGCAGCTGGCCACACTGTCCTGCTGCCCAGCCCCCAGCTCTGGAGGGACCCTGGAGTCCCCGGCATCCACAGCCGCAGCGCCGGGCCAGCCACGGCTCTGAGAAGAAGTCAGCCTGTGAGTCACCCTGAGGGGAGGTGGCCCTGTGGGGTGGACAGGGGAGGTGCTGGATGGCTCTTTTAGAACACTTTAAGCCCTAAGTTCCCCCAAAGTCAGGATAACTGGTACGTTTTAGTGATAAGGAAATCAGGGCTCAGATAAGGCAACTAAGGCTCCAAGGTTGCACAGCAAGAGAGTCACCCTCCTGGGTACCCTGACCTCTTACCCACCCTTTGCCCACTGCAGGCAGGACTGTGCTCCACCCCCCTTGTGGACCCCATTGCTCTGGGGACCAGCTGCTAGCAGAAACCCCACCTCTTCCTCAGGCCTGGCCTCTGAACCCCAGATGCTCAGGGTCACAGGACAGCAGCAGGGAGGCTGGAAGGGCCCCAGTGGGTGCCGGTCTGGGCTTTCACACCCCCTCCCCCCAGGGCGCAAGATGCGGGTGTACCAGCCTGAAGAGCCCGCTGGCAGCCTTGAGGCCCACGCTGTCTTCCTGGAGCCTGGCCAGGCGGTGCAGGAGCAGGCCCTGGGCACAGGGGAGCCTAGACCGCGGGGGCTGCCTGGGTGCACCCGAGCAAGCCTCGAAGGGCCTGAGCGGAGGCGCTTCTCGGCATCTGAGCTGATGACCCGTCTGCACTCTTCCCTGCGCCTGGGGCGGAATTCAGCACCCAGGACGCAAATTCCGGTCCCTGGGTCAGGCCCCGGAGCAGCCCGGGAAGGTACCAACTCCTCCTCCATCCTGGGCCCTAAGGATGCCAGGGCGCTTGTCAGCTGGGGTGTGGTGCCAAGGGCCACTCCCTAGACCACCCACCTCCAGCCCTCGCCCTCTCCAGGGAAAGCATTTGGAAGAGAGTCGCGGGGTGTAGAGATGCCGGTGGACAGTGTGTCGCTGCCAGCCCCTGTTGACTCAAGCGACGGCCATGGCGGTTGGCCCGAGCCCAGGTACCACCTCCCTCTCTGGGCTGGGGTCCCAGGTGGGTGCAGGTGAGGAAGGGCCCTGACACACTCTATTTCCTAGGCTGGACGCGCAAGAAGAGCCGCCGTTGGGTACCAGGAGCGCCAGTGAACGGCGCCAGTCACGATTCCTCCTTAACTGTACGTGGGAGGGGGCACGGAGGAAGGGGCTGGGACGCGAAACGGGGAAACTGGGGTTCGGAGAGTTGGGAGGTAGGGATCGTGTGAGAAGCAGAGGACTGAACTCTCAGTATCTAGCACAGGGACTAGCATGCAGTTGGTGCTCATTAATGTTTACGGGATGAATGAATGAGTGAGCGAATGCATTCACTGAGTCCGGGTACCCCAGCCTCCGCGGAGGCCTCAGTGAGGCGGGCCCCTGGGGGCGCCGGGGAGGAGCCGGGCCGGCCGACGGGCGCCCCACGGCCCTTGCCCGCCCTCTCCCGCGCAGCCGTGCTCTACCAGGAGTACAGCGACGTGGCCAGCGCCCGCGAACTGCGGCGGCAGCAGCGCGAGGAGGAGGGCCCCGGGGACGAGGCCGAGGGCGGCGAGGAGGGGCCGGGGCCGCCGCGCGCCAACCTCTCCCCGAGCAGCTCCTTCCGCGCGCAGCGCTCGGCGCGCGGCTCCACCTTCTCGCTGTGGCAGGACATCCCCGACGTGCGCGGCAGCGGCGTGCTGGCCACGCTGAGCCTGCGCGACTGCAAGCTGCAGGAGGTGGGCGGGGACCCGGCCGGGCGGGCTGGCGGGGGGGGCGGGGCGGGGACCCGGCTGGGGGGCGGGGAGGGGCAGGCCCGGGGCCCCGATCGGGTGTGGCGGCAGAAGGTGCGGGCCAGGAGTCAGTACGTGATGGGGACTTACCGGGGACCCAGGCCATGGGGAGATGGGGCCACAAAAAGGGGCGCCGGCGGGACTGTCAACGCGCAGGGTGGGTGCTGGGACCCTACTAGGTGGGGCTGGCTGGCAGCGAGGACAGAGGAGCTGGGGAGCCAAAAGCGAGTGAGGCTAGACGAGGGGGCGGGGACGGCGGTGAGGGGCGGAGCCTAGGCGAGGGCAGGGCCAGGGGAGGGGCGGAGCCATTGGGAGAGCAACGCGTGGTGGGCCCGGGCGGGGCCAGGAGCAGGGGCGGGGCTCATGGGAGAGCGCCGGGCAGACGGGGCAGGCCCTCGGAACGACTGGGGCGGGGCTCTGGGCGGGGCTAGAGCAACGGGCGGGGTCGAGGGCTCCGGTTGGGTTTCTACAATTGCCCGCTGCAAGTTATAGGCCCCGGGACTCGCCCAGCGCCAGCTTAAGGGTGGGTCTGGAGGAGGGGTGGGAACGTGGGGCGCGGTCGTGTCTAGGGAGGTGGCGTCCTGGGGTTAGGGGATGCGAACCCAGGGCGTCCAGGGTGGGCTTGCTCAGCCATTTCAACTTGGCACTCAGCCATTTCAACCTGGCGTCCGCCCTCCCTTAGGCCAAGTTTGAGCTGATCACGTCTGAGGCCTCCTACATCCACAGCCTGTCGGTGGCCGTGGGCCACTTCTTAGGCTCTGCCGAGCTGAGTGAATGTCTAGGGGCGCAGGACAAGCAGTGGCTGTTTTCCAAACTGCCCGAGGTCAAGAGCACCAGCGAGAGGTGAGGAACACCTCTCAGGGCCTCCCAGGGCCGGGGCCAAGCCTGTTGCTGACCGGCACCCAGATCTGGGATCTCTGTCCTGGCCCTGACTCCTCCCTGACCCCTCAGGTTCCTGCAGGACCTGGAGCAGCGGCTGGAGGCAGATGTGCTGCGCTTCAGCGTGTGTGACGTGGTATTGGACCACTGCCCGGCCTTCCGCCGAGTCTACCTGCCCTACGTCACCAACCAAGCCTACCAGGAGCGCACCTACCAACGCCTGCTGTAGGGCTGGGGGATCGGAAAGGAGGGGAGGAGGGAGGGAGGCTCAGGCAGGTGTAGGCACAGAGGACTGGGCGAGGAAGGGTGACTCTGGAAGGGGAGGTGTCCCTGAAAGGGTCCCTGTGACCAGGGTAAAGTGAGACCAACTCCAAGGGGCAGAAAGGATGTGCTGACAAGGTACATGAAGAACCAGTGGGGTGGCGGGGGTCATGGATTCCAGGAGTTCAGGCCACCTGTGACTCTGGAACCCTCCCCATCTTCCAGCCTGGAGAACCCCAGATTCCCCAGCATCCTGGCTCGCCTGGAGGAGTCCCCTGTGTGCCAGCGTCTGCCCCTCACCTCCTTCCTCATCCTGCCCTTTCAGAGGATCACCCGCCTCAAGATGCTGGTGGAGGTACCTAGGGGGCACCAGGCTGCAGCGAGGGCTGGGCCAGCTGTGGGCCGTGACCTCCACTGTCCCTCTAGGCAGGCGAGTGGGCTAGGTCACAGGGGGAGGACAAGGCCAGCCTCATTGCGCTGATCCCACCTTCCAGAACATCCTAAAGCGGACGGCACAGGGCTCTGAAGATGAAGACATGGCCACCAAGGCCTTCAACGCACTCAAAGAGGTGAGCTCGGTAGGGCAGGGCTGTTTGGCTCCAGAGGGCCTCCCTGGAGCCCCCTCTAAGAGAGCCTCCACCTGTCAGAGTCTCTGGTCCCCAGGCGGGAGCCTGAGGCTGGGCCCTGGGAGCCTGGGTTAAGGGGCTGCAGGTGACCCACCCACGGCCTCCCCAGCTGGTGCAAGAGTGCAACGCCAGTGTGCAGTCCATGAAGAGGACAGAGGAGCTCATCCACCTGAGCAAGAAGATCCACTTTGAGGGCAGGGTGCGTGCAGGACGGGGGGTGTGAAGGGGCAGCTCTTGTTTCCTGCCTGCCCTGGGGGCTTCAGGCCACTTCATCACTGCCCACACACTCCCATCCTCCACCCCGTGCTCTCTGCCTGGTGGCCCTGGGCCTGACCTGCCCTTTCCCCTTGCCTACTTCGTCCCCCCAGATCTTCCCGCTCATCTCTCAGGCCCGCTGGCTGGTTCGGCATGGGGAGCTGGTGGAGCTGGCACCACTGCCTGCAGCACCCCCTGCCAAGTTGAAGCTGTCCAGCAAGGCTGTCTACCTGCACCTCTTCAATGACTGCTTGCTGCTCTCCCGGCGGAAGGAGTGAGTTGAGGCGGGGTAGGGGTAGGTAGATCAGAGCTGGGCTCCCTTCTTCTCCACCACTGGGCTCATCACTGGTCCTGGAAGCCCTGGCTTGTGCCAGGCTGTGCTGCCAGGGCACCAGGAGCCTTGGAGGCTCCTGAAGCAAAGGCAGAGATGTGTGTTAGACCCATCTTCCAGATGGAAGAGTCGAGGGCTGGACTGTGTGCAGAGGACTTGAAGCTGCTGGGAACTTAGGCCAGTTAGAGCAGAGATTAAGAGCACAACTCTGGAGCCAGCGCTGCCCTGAGTCACAGCAATGCTAGCAGCCAGTGTCTACTCAGCCCCTGTTCTGTGCAAGGCAGGCTCTGTGGATTACTCTCTTTAATCCTCCAAACACCTCCCTGGGCAGTAGCCTCCCTTGTTATTCCAGATCGTGGAGCCTGGAGGTGGGGGAGCCAGGAGGAAGTGGGGTCTGGCCGATGCTGGATCCCAGGCTCTTACCCACTGCACTGTCCTGCCTTCCATCTGTAAATAGAGACCACCACGCAGGGAGGGTCAGTGTGAGAATAACACGTGAAGAGTGTTTAGCACAGTGCCTGGCACATAGGAGCATTTCCTCTGTGTTAGCTGTGGTCACTGTAAGTGAGGAAGGAGGAAGGAGACTTTCTGGATGAGGCGAGTCTTGAGGCTGGATGAGATGAAGGATGGACATCTTATGCTATAAGAAGAATTCATTCCTGATGTATCTGTTGGCTGGGCACGGTGGTGCATGCCTGTATTCCCAGCACTTTGGGAGGCTGAGGCTGGAGGATTGCTTGAGGCCAGGAGTTTGAGACTTGATTTATTTGTTCATTCAATAACCTGTCACTGGTTGTTGCTGATGACAGGTTATTGCCAGGCCATCTGTGGGGTGCTGAGGACATAAATACGAATGAGAAATGTTCTCTGCTCACAGGAGCTGTCGGACCAGTGAAAATATATCCTGATAGCCATGGTGTCAGGGTTTTGATGGGAGGGTGTACTGCGGTATTTTTCGTTGTCCAGCTAATTTCTTTCTATGTTTAGTAGAGACGGGGTCTCGCTCTTGCTCAGGCTGGTGTTAAACTCCTGAGCTCAAACGATCTGCTTGCCTTGGCCTCCCAGAGTGCCAGGATTACAGGCGTGAGCCACCGCGCCCGGCCGATCACAATATTATATATAAGAGCAAAGCGTGTGTTTGGGGAATGATGAAGCCTAATGTGGCTGGATTTACAGACGAGCAGGGCAGGAGTGGGAATTTAGGATGTTGAAAGTCATGGTAAAGAGATTGGACTTTTCTTTCTTTCTTTTTTTCTTTCCTCCTAGTGCATCACTGAAGAGAGGTTGGGCCTTTTCTGAGGGCAGCCGGGAGCTTGGAGAGTTAGGCAGAGGGATGACACTTTACTCCTGCCCAGTCTGGAGTAAGGGTGGGAGGGGGAGACACCGAAGGTCTTGCCATTGCCCGGG